GGTCACCAGGCTCAGGTCCAAGCCCGGCCTGGAGAACGCAGTCAGCTCGGTAAAGGCACCCACTAGCCCGGAGAGCAGCTGGCACACCAGGAAGGAAAATCCCTGGCACTGGGCTGCTGATGTCCACGTAGCTCTTGTCCATCCCTCCCCGCAGGAGAAACGGGGGACAGGTTTTATCTTCTGCATTAGAAACATCTTCAGGGCGGCTGCCGCCCACCTGGACCATCACCAGAGTTACAGTGCGGAGAGACCCTGCACACCCCTAGCCCGGAGAGCAGCTGGCACACCAGGAAGGAAAATCCCTGGCACTGGGCTGCTGATGTCCACGTAGCTCTTGTCCATCCCTCCCCGCAGGAGAAACGGGGGACAGGTTTTATCTTCTGCATTAGAAACATCTTCAGGGCGGCTGCCGCCCACCTGGACCATCACCAGAGTTACAGTGCGGAGAGACCCTGCACACCCCTCGCGCACAGGCTGGTGTTTGCGGATACTGACTGTGGTACATGAACCCGGTGGGAGAGAGACCCACCATATGTACAAAGTTACACGGCAGAGAGCAAACTGGCAGACTCAGCATGGAAACCCGTTCAAATTACAGGCACAGGAGAACACCCAACACACACGCATAGCTGTGTGTTAGCCAGCCTCCACAACACACACACACACACACAGCTGTGTGTTAGCCAGCCGCTACAACACACACACACACACGCATAGCTGTATGTTAGCCAGCTTCCATGACACACACACATGCACGCACAGCTGTGTGTTAGCCATCCGCCACAACACACACACACACACACACACAGAGCTGTGTGAAAGCCGCCACAACACACACACACACACACACACACAGCTGTGTGTTAGCCATCCGCCACAACACACACACACGCACAGCTGCCTGTTAGCCAGCCTCCACGACACACACACGCACAGCTGAAGTGGCCCGAGTCTCCTGTTCGCCAGCCTTTGCAGCCTCTGTTCCCATGACCCTCAGATGGCTGTAAAAGATAACCCCAAAGCGAGCTCTAAAATCAGAGGCGAGCCAGCGCACAGCTGTGTGTTAGCCATCCGCCACAACACACACACACGCACAGCTGCCTGTTAGCCAGCCTCCACGACACACACACGCACAGCTGAAGTGGCCCGAGTCTCCTGTTCGCCAGCCTTTGCAGCCTCTGTTCCCATGACCCTCAGATGGCTGTAAAAGATAACCCCAAAGCGAGCTCTAAAATCAGAGGCGAGCCAGCGCAGTCACGGGGAGCCGCCCAGCCCCCCGTGGGATCAGGCCCACAAAAAATGAGGGTAGAAAAGACCCATTAGATTCCACCAAGTCCATTCCCGAAGGCAGGACGGTCCCCGAGGGCTCATTCCACAGGGCTCTGGCTAGTCCAGGGTGACACCGGCTCCCACCCCTTCCCTAGGGGCTGACACGACAACCGGTACGCTCGCGAGCCTCTTCCCGCTAACAACGAGGAAAATGGAGAACCAAGGACTGGCACTGACACCCGCACCCACAGGAACAATACGAGGGCCTCGGTAGCTTGAAAATCGAGCCCTTTTTCCTCTCTCAGACTCTGCTTGTCAATGCCCATGGCTCGGAACAGCCATTCCTCAACCAGCAACCCGCCCCGAGCACAACCAGGGCGATTCGGGCTCGGCAGGGCTTTCTGAGCCTCGTGAGCCTCTTCCAAAGGGGGAGACAAAACTCAGTATTTACTACAAGGCCACCCTGGCGGCCGTGTCCCCTCCAGCCCTCCGTCTGGTTCTCCTCTGATAGACTGAAGCCCCGTCCCTTCACTGGCCCAGCGAGACAGCACGAGACAGCACTTGGCACTCACATCGTCCAGCCGCCGGTCCGTGCCCAGGGCGAGCAGATTGTTGAATTCTCTCTCCATCACCTGCCGTGCCTGGAAAGAGTCAGGAATGAGTGACAGGAGCCGGCCGGCCCCGGGGAACGACTGACGCTACCCCAGGATGCCCAGGTGCTCGGACAGACCGAGGAGTCCGACTGTCAGTGCCGACAGCTGCAAGGACAGGACAGGTCCCTCCAGAAGCCACTGTGCTGCCGTAGGACACGGAGTTGAAGGAGGCTCTAAAGGAGATTCCTGGCACCAAGCCCTGCAGCAGTGAGGAGCGATCGCTGCCTTGTTCAGCCGACTCTCCCTTCGTGTTCTGTGACACCCCACAGAGCACACCCTGAGGTGACGGGTGCCTCAAAGACGCGAGCAGGCGAGAGGACGGAGAGGCAGACAGGCACCAGCAGTGAGCTCTGGCAGGCCTTTCCTTACCTGGGTGTTCTGAGTGGGTATCTGCAGGACAAGTGACAGACTGTTATGGTCAAAGTTTTCATCCAAAGCAAGGAGAGCTCCATGGACTCCACTCTCGCCGAGGTTATTTGCATACTCCCGAAGCCCAATGGACTGGATCCAGTGGATGACCTGATCGTTGGTCCAGACCAGAACATCTGCAAGACAGCAGGGCCAGACGTTCAGCACCCTCCAAGCCTCCAGCCAGCTCGGTTTTCACCTGTCAGAGGGGCAGCCTCACTCTGTACCCCCCAAAACCAACAGGGAGGCCTGTGGCACCAGGGACACTAGCAGATTTACTGGGGCGTGAGCTTTCGTGGGCTAAACTCACCTGGTCAGATGCTTCGGACACTTCCTGATCCCTGCTGAGCCTTGAGCCCTGCCTGGCCCTGTGGCAGGTGACCATATGACAGAGCAATTAAGGGGTTTGGCTAGGCCTGGCAGTGCGGCCATTGTCCCTCCGGCTCTTTGAGGAGCAGCAGCAGTAACTGCTCAGTATTCGGGGCGTGAGCTTTCGTGGGCTAAACTCACCTGGTCAGATGCTTCGGACACTTCCTGATCCCTGCTGAGCCTTGAGCCCTGCCTGGCCCTGTGGCAGGTGACCATATGACAGAGCAATTAAGGGGTTTGGCTAGGCCTGGCAGTGCGGCCATTGTCCCTCCGGCTCTTTGAGGAGCAGCAGCAGTAACTGCTCAGTATTCCCCAGCACCTCCCGCCCGCTGCCGGCCACGCCAATCAACTCCTCGGGGGAAGGGGTGCAGTGGGGGTGAGGCCTGGGGAGGAGCTGGGGTTCAGCACCCACATAGAAAGGAGGAAGCTGGTGCCCATGTGTGACGGCGCATTGGGGTTTTCCTGTCTCCTGCACCCCCGTAATGGCACGGACACTCCACCAGCTGGTAGACTAGAGGGAGTTTGTTGCTTCTCCAGGATACAGCACAGCACAGATGTGATCTGGTTCCAGGGCAGGCCTAGGATGCCTCAACCCCCCTTGAGATGGGGGAGCCTGGGCCCCTAAATTCCAGCCCCTTTCCCTAGGCTGTCTCCTCCATGCTCCCAGACAGAAACTAACTCCCTCACTTCCAGCCCTGCCCCCAGCTAGGGCTCCACTCCCCTTCTTCCCATTGTTCCACTCCCTGGGAGATAACTGGTCAGACAGGTTTGAAGCCCCCTTGCATAATGACTCATCCCCCGCCCTGCTGGGCCGTGCTGCAGACAGCAGCCAGTGGAGGTCACTCACAGTCCACTGCCCAGCATAGCAACCAGCAAGGTACCCCCACTACGTCACACCATGGCAACAGAGAAATCTGCCCACCCTGTAGGTTTGGTTGCCAACCCTCCAGAATTGCTCTGGGAGTCGCCAGGAATTCAAGAGTAATGAAAGAGGATGTCATGTGATGAAACCTCCAGGAAAACGTCCAACCAAACCGGCAGCCCTATGTGAAGGGACTGCCCCGATCTCACTCCGTGCCCCCTGGAGGAGTGGCCCGGACACTGTCTCTCTGCATCTTGCCCCTTTCCTGACCCCCTCGACTCCCCATACACTTGTGCTAGGCGCACAAGCAGGCTGAGTGTGTCTGTGGGCCCCTCGCCACGATCCGACGGGCAGGCCGGCTGCTGACACCAAAAGGCTGCTTCTGACATTTCAAGCAGAGAGGTGCAGATGCTTGGGGAGGAACTGGGACCCTGCCGTGGTTTAGAAACAATTGTACTCAGAGAGACGAGGTCTCTGGTTGAAATCTTCCCTCCTCCCCAGCAAGGCCAGACCTCCTCTCTTTTTTTATTTCCTGCTTTCAATGGTTCCCGCCCCTTGCCAAGCGAGGCTAGCAATCTGTATGCCTGCGTATCCCCGCTAATGCAGGGAGGAATACAGGTGCCACAGACTGTCCTTGTACATTATCTGCTTGAGCGCTCAGAATAGTGATCACAAATAGTTTAGTTCCCCCAGTTCTGTTCAAGAGGGTTGAAAATCCCGACCCACTTGACAGAGAAAACTCCCATTCCCCGTGGAAACTAAACTGGGGCAGAAATTCTTTATTCCTCCAGAGGGCTCGCCAGTCAAGTCCGACCAGTTTGTCATCTGAGCTGCTGGCAGAGGCTCTTTTAATCCTCAAGGCTTTTAATCCTCTGTTCTTGCCATTCATCTCCCACCTAAAGTTGGACTTCCGGGTTTGTTCCAACGAATGCGATTGGACAAACAGCCTTCGCAATGCAAAACAGGAAAGGAGCCAGAAAAAGGCGGGATCACTTCCGCTGTCACTTCCTGTGGGACACAGGCAAAGGACTGACCTTTGATTTCGTGCTGGCTCTCTTCTCGCCGCCGCTGCAGCTCCTTGCGGTCATAGCTTAACCTCTTGAGGCACATGATGCCGTACTGCAGGCTGGTGCTGGGGAAACACAACGCATCGCTCAATGTAGTGATTAGCAGTTCACAGTCATGCTGGAAGGGCAGGACAAGTGGGGCTCTGCAGGGGTCTGTTTTGGGGCCACTTCTGTTCACTGTCTTCATCAACAATTTAGATATTGCATAGAGAGGACGCTTATTAAGTTTGCAGATGATACCAAGCAGGGAGGGGCTGCAACTAAGAGTACGTCTACACTAGCCCCCTAGATCGATCCAGGGAAGCTAATGAGGGTGACCGGAATTGCAAATCAAACCTAGGATTTAAATATCCCGCGCTTGATTTGCATGTTCCCGGCCTGTTGCCATTTTAGAAATTGACTAGCCAGAAGTAACTACACGCGGCAGTGAAATGGGCCTCCGATTTAAAGCCCCTAATTCGAATTAGGTGGTAAACCTCATTGCAGGAGGAATACCACCTAATTCGATTTAGGGCTTTAAATTGGAAGCCCGCTTCACTGCAGTGTGTAGACACGGGCAGTTACTTCAGGCTAGTCAATTTCTAAAATGGCGACCGGCCGGGAACTTGCAAATCAAGTGCAGAATATTTAAATCCCGGGCTTGATTTGGAATTCCGGTCATCCTCATTAGCCTCCCTAGATTGATCTACGGGGCTAGTGTAGACGTACCCTAAGGCTGCCAGGTGTCCGGTTTTGAACCAGACAGTCCAGTATTTGAGCTTTCTGTTCGGGAAACAAATTGAGAAAAAATGAATGAGAAAATATAAATGTTCGGTATTTTCTAAATAAGATGTAATGTTGATTGTGATGTAATGTCAAGTGTGTCTGGTATTTTTGTTGAAATCATCTGGCAATCCTAGTTGCAAGTGCTTTGGAGGATGGGTCAAAATTCAAAATAATTTGGACAAGCTAGAGAAAAGGTCTGAGGTAAATAGGACAAAGTTTAATAAGGACAAATGCAAAGTGCTCCATTTAGGAAGGAACAATCAGTTTCACACATATAGAATGGGAAGTGGTTGTCTAGGAAGGAGTACGGCAGAAAGGGATCTAGAGGCCATAGTGGATCACAAGCTAAATATGAGTCAATAGTGTGACACTGTTGCAAAAAAAGCAAACATGGTTCTGGGCTGCATTAACAGGTGTGTTGTGAGCAAGACACGAGGAGTCATTCTTCCGCTCTACTCTGTGCTGATTAGGCCTCAGTTGGAGGATTGTGTCCAGTTCTGGGCACCACATTTCAGGAAAGATGTGGAGAAATTGGAGAAGGTCCAGAGAAGAGCAACAAGAATGATTAAAGGTCTAGAAAACGTGACTGATGAGGGAAGACTGAAAGAATTGGGCTTGTTAAGTTTGGAAAGAAGACTGAGAGGGGACAGGATAGAAGTTTTCAAGTATTTAATAGGGTGTCACACAGAAGAGGGAGACAAATTGTTCTCCTTGGCCTCCAAGGACAGGACAAGAAGCAATGGGCTTCAACTGCAGCAAGGGAGGCTGAGGTTGGACTTTAGGAAAAACTTCCTACCTGCCCGGGTGTTTAAACACTGGAATAAGTTGCCTAGGGAGGTTGTGGAATCTCCATCACTGGGATATTTAAGAGCAGATTGGACAGACACCTGTCAGGGATGGTCTATATGGTGCTGGGTCCTGCCGTGGAGGCAAAGGACTGGACTATGATGACCTCTCAAGGTTCCTTCTAGTTCTATGATTTTGGGTCAGAAATTGGTTGACCTGGACTGAGTGGTTCTGTGCCACACAACCACCCACACTGGAGGTCTGCACGGGGAATTTCATGAAGGAGAACATCAGCTTTTCTACGTTGTTCCAGACTAAGAACAACCCTTCCTCCAAAGCCTGTGTGTGAGAAAGTTCAGCCACACCAACTGCATCTGGCTAAACCCCCCCAGGCCTCCTCCTTCACTGCTCAGGAAGGGACGCTCTAGAGACCTTCCCAGGAAGACCAGCTCACCGGTGGAAGCTGTCAACCATCTTCAGGTGCACTCTGAGATCTTTCTTACTCAGGTGGTCCAGCATCCGAGCATCCACGAGACACTCCATGAAGTAGCTGCGATACTGTGGGAGCCCAAGACTTGGCAGCCATTCATTCCCAATCCACTCATGGTTCATGTCCCCGTAGGCCAGCGTCTGCGAAAGCAAAGGGAAACACATGGCTCCAGACAGTGCTCCAGACACAACCTTCCAGGGGTACTACAGTACGTTTGGTGCAAGATGTTTTTTCAGAGCTTCTGCATTTAGAAGCGGCCTGATTTTTAGCTGAATAGGTTTGACTTTCGGGAATTTCGCTTTTGGAAATGTCTGTCCAATTATTAAGAAAATGCATTTGGATAAGTTAATAACTTGTGTCAGTGCTTCTCTCTCGGTGTGGACATCTTGAAAAGCCTATATAAAAGGCGAGGTGTTCTTTTTGTAATGCTCTGACACTGATGGAAGACAGGTCCCTAGGCACCTGAAACCTGACGCTTCTCAGTCTAAGCCAAGGGACCTAGTTCTGTTAGTCAAGGCTGCAGCTAGAGATGGGCAAGAAATGGTTTGCCCGTGAGACTGAAAATTCTCCCTCTCAAATCGGGACAACAAAAGTCTTGAAAATTTTCACAAACGTAGAAATCAAAACCTGTTTTCAGATCAAGTCAACTTGATGTTTTGTTCTGATAAGCTCAAAACATTTTGTTTCAGTTTTGACCTGCTGATTTTTTTAAATAACTGATGATTTTTAAATAAACCTAAATGTCTGAAAAAAACGTCATTTGAAACAAAATGTTTTGAGCTTATCAGAACAAAATATCCAGTTGACTTGGTCTGAAAATAGGTTTTGATTTCTCAGCTTGTGAAAATTTTCAAGACTTTTGTTGTCCCGATTTGGGAGGGAGAATTTTCAGTCTCACGGGCAAACCATTTCTTGCCCATCTCTAGCTGCAGCCTTGACTAACAGAACTAGGTCTCTTGGCTTAGAAAAAAAAAAGTGCTACATAGTCCTGTTTTTTGTTTCAGCTACACCAGACTAACACGGCTACATTTCTATCACAAAAAACCCCCCAAAAAAACGGTTCTTGTTTATCTCAAAACGAGAGTAACCGCCATTTCCAAACTTTTTTTGTCGAAAAATGTTCCAAAGCAGGAAAGACCTTGACCTCCCCCCTTTCTTGCAAACACTTAATGGTATTTTTGGTTACAAAAAAAAGCTGAAAAATTCTTGACTAATTCTAGCTGCAGCAACCTCTTCAGCCCCTATATATGTCCCAGCCACCACTAGAGAAGGACAGAGCACCATGCTGCGGAGGCATGGCCTATATTGTTGTTCTGAAGTGTAACAAGTTTAATAATTGCTGCAGTAGCAGAGAGATGTTCTGAGGTTTAATTCGTTGTGAATTGCGCACAGGGAAGTGTAAATCAGGCAGGAGGAGAGACAGGGCCTCGCACGCCACCGCCTGCCCGTGCGGTTCTGACACCAGTCTCACGTGAGTTCAAAATGCCACCCCATTCACAGGGCAGTTCGGCGCTCGCTTTGCATCAGGGGCGGGGCAGTCGAGGATCAGGCCCAAACGATGCCATCGTTAACTCACGTGGGCCTTGGGAGGGCTCCCTGTGGCACATCAGCTCCCATTACTCTAGCCCTGGCAGGAAACTCTGTCCCACCTCTGTGCAGCCCTAAAGCAGCCCGTTCCGATACCGGGAGTGGGGGGCCATGTGGGTTCCCATCCGGGAAGGCAACTGGCTGGGTGTCACTTCAAGGTTTCTGTATGCTCCCCCCTCTATAAAAGGCGACTTCCTCCCCTCCCGGGGAAGGCGGCGGCTAGCCAGCGCGCCAGATGTGCAGCACAGCAGCTGTGCGCAGGATCTAAATGACTGTTGCTAATGGAGGGCTTTCGCCTCTTCTCATGGACAGGACAGTCACGCGCCCAACAGAACAGAGGCGTCTTGTCTCTGGCTACAAAGCCCGTGAAGCAGGTGACAGGCAATGGCTGAAGAAATGGAACAGGGGAGGGGCTGCGGCTAGCCAGCGCGCCAGATGTGCAGCACAGCAGCTGTGCGCAGGATCTAAATGACTGTTGCTAATGGAGGGCTTTCGCCTCTTCTCATGGACAGGACAGTCACGCGCCCAACAGAACAGAGGCGTCTTGTCTCTGGCTACAAAGCCCGTGAAGCAGGTGACAGGCAATGGCTGAAGAAATGGAACAGGGGAGGGGCTGGGCCAATCAGAATCAGGATCTAGATCTGAGCTCAAATCAAAGCAGCCGCTGGGGGAGGGGGAAATGGCTTGGGACCAACCAGCTCATTCTATCATCCAGCTGTTTGCCAGCTTTATTACCCGCCCTCCCCGTGGAAGGGCTGGATCAGGACCGGTGAGCCAGGACAGGCTACACATGGGGAGATGAGATCACAAGCCTTTTTACGAGAAACGGGCCCCCAATTTTACACAGCAGGGAACCCGGGACTGAGAGTTACCAAAACCACACGGGGCTTTTAGCCATGTATCTTCCAGGCCTCCGAAATGGCTAAGTCCCCTGGACATCTAAAACAGGAGTCAAAAGAACCATGGAACTCCACCCCAGCCCACAGCGAAAGAGCCATGTTCCTGGTGCGGGAGTGGACCGGCTAATCCACGTGATGGGCGGGCGAGAGAGGACGCGCCAGCTGTGTGAAAATTATCCCGGCTATCCAATGCAACAAAGGGGGAGCCTTCCCCGACCTTCCAGGGACGTGCCTTTGGGGGCAGGGCTTAAAGGAACACCCGGTGAAAAGAGCAGGGCCAAATGCGGAGTGGCCGGCGTGGAAATGGAGCGATGCGATCGGACACAGGCAGTGTCACTGGGATCGGTCTGCAAGAGGGCTGTGAGACTGGCTGGGTGCTGGCCCCGGTTCGCCTACCTGGCAGACATGGAAAGAGAGGACATGGAGGTCTCACCTGTGCCCAGCTGCCCTCCTCTGTGTCCTGATTGTAACATGTGTAGCATGTCAACAAAAACAACAGGGAAAGTCAGTACCTCTGCAACCGGGGGCTGGCCCTTGGAGCACAAACAGAGCAGAAGACACATTGGAAAGACGATACGGTGCGGTCCGAGGAAAGGCACTAGCCCGGCAGGGAGCGGGAACACCCACTTCACATGCAAGTCAGGCGCCTGCGTCTCTCAGCGCGAGTGAGCCCTGGCGCATGCCAATCCCCGGGCGTTTTGCCTTGGACGGGGCCAGGTTTCCACCCCAGGCGGCATGCACGAGGCTGCGATGCCACTGGACAGTCCTGCTCTCCCCAGCACACGGTGCGTCTGGCGTGGAGTCTGGCACAGACCCCCCAGAGGACATGCCTGCTGGGTAAGCAAGCGCTGCACGGGGCAGAGATGCCTGTGCCCGAAGAACAGACACAAGTGGGGAAGGGGCAGTGCAAGTTTCCCCTGCATTGCCCTACCAGTGTGCTCCACCCCAGACTGGACGCCAGGCCAGTGACCCACACTCAACGGCTGCAGGGCCAACGTGGGTTGACTGCACGAGGGCAGCTTGGGGTCCACTAAAAGAGACTGACCCCTCAGATCCAGAAATGGATGTTGGGTCAGCGACTCCAGGAGTGGAGTCGGGCTTTCACGTTCTGGGTTGGTTTCTCTGCATCAACGGGTCTTTTCCTGTATTTATTTTACTAGAGGTGGACAGAGGCACAGTCCTCGTGGGCTCAGCAAAACCAACAAGCTTTTGAAAAAGGAAAACTCGCTTGGGGGAGTGGAAAAGCAGCTGTAGAAACGGCCCAGCTATTAAAGGCTGAGAAGCAGCTCCTCAGCATGCCCAACCCACTGGGCACGGCGTCTCCCTCCGACTGCATGAGCCCCCTTCCCATCCAATGGGTCGCCGTGGGCTGAATTTCAGCACTAGCAGCCCACAGGGCTACGCCTGCGAACTGGCATGCTCTCCAGATGGGAGACGGGGTTAGACAGGAGACTGACCGTTTTTGTGGAAGTTGCCATGTTCTCCATCTCCTCGTGCGTGACCCAGACATTTCCCGAGGACTACAGGGAAAAGGGGAGACAAAGATCAAGCACACGTTACAACCAGAGCACAACTATCTGCTCAAAAGTCCAAGCGACGCAAGCTCCATTACAGACAGGACGTCAGGTTCTACTGCGGATCGCAAGGAGACATATACAGACTTAACGGTTGGCCTCTTCTCTTCCATTGGACTCACACCAGGAATTACTGCTCCCTCCTACCAGGCGGAGATGAGAATCGGGTTCTGTTTATCAAACTCTAAAGGACACTGGTGGATTTCTCACATGCTTGTAGAGAAACCCACTTCCAGCTTCCATGAAACTTACCGGGGGCTCCTTTCCTTGGTGAAAGAGACAAGACATGTGACAGGGGAGAATGCTGAGAAGGGTTTTCTGAGCTACCCCATTCCAAGAACAAAGCACGTTTAAAATGGATACCATGCAGCGATAGTTCCCACAAATACTCAGTTAGTGAAAGTTGCTCTGGAATTCCGACGAGGAGGAAAAACGGTTATCTTCATAGAATCATAAACGGAAGGGAGCTCGAGAGGGCATCAAGTCCAGTTCCCTGCCCTCATGGACCGTCTAGATCATCCCTGACAGGTGTTTGTCCAACCTGATCTTAAAAATCTCTAATGATGGAGATTCCACAACCCCTCTATGCAATTTATTCCAGTGCTTAACTACCCTGACATTGCTTTTCTTCTCCTATCATTAGAGGTTATGGAAAATCATTTTTCTCCCTCCACCTTGTAACAGCCTTTTAGATACCTGAAAGCTGTAATCATGTCCCCTCTCAGTCTTCTCCTTTCTAGACTAAACACTTCCCTCGGAGCTCCTGTTTTCTAGACCTTTCATCATTTTTGTTGCTCTTCTCTGGGCCTTCTCCAGATTGTCCACATCTCTCCTGGAATGTGGTACCCAGAACGGGACACGGTACTCCAGCTGAGGCCTGATCAGTATGGAAGAATGACTTCGTTCTTACAGCACTCCCGCTAATGCGTCCGAGAATGGATGTTTGCGTGTTCTAACGGTTGGTGGTGCAGAGGTGTGCGCTAGATGCATGCATGCTCAGGGCACCCGTGGGACACCGTTCAGCCCCTCCCCTGGCACACAAAGCCCAGGGCAAAGGGGTCAGAGGGTGAGCCGTAGAAGAACAGCAGGAACAGGAAAGTGACTGCATTTACATGTCGGAGTTGATGACATTTTTATGGGACGTTCCTATGTTGGACATTTGCAGGGCTACCACTTGGGTCTCCATGCATGCTTCTGCCCCTCCCCGCACCATCTCCACATTGATCAGACACAGACTTTGGAAAGGCCCTTGTTTAAATAGCTCCAAGCTCCACCATCCATGCATGCCCTGGAGAGTCGCTTGGGAACATGCGGCAGCTGCAGCTCCTGACTCCTTCCGCGGCATTTCCTCATGGCGGAGCACACACTCCCATAGCAGGTAAAGTGTGCAGGAGGTTAAAAGAGCGCAGGGTTTTGTCTGAAAATAAAACCTGCCCTTTGGACAGCAGCACGTGTGCATTCTCCTGAAGGAAGACTGCCTGGACGCCCGGGGTAGCACCCATATCTCTGCCTCTAGAGCAGGGGTTCCCAACCTTTTTTATACCGGGGACCGGCAAACCCATTGACAAACTTTTGGTGGACCGGTAGCATTTTATTTGCATGTTTGCATATTCATTATGCAGATAATGAATATGCAAATGCAATATTACTGGTCCACCAAAAGTCCCGGCCCCCAGAGCCCCCAGCCCTAACCCCTAGAGACCCCCACCCCTCCACTACACCCCTGCTGCCACTGACCCAGCATCCCCTGTAACCAACCCCCCAGTGACAGCCC